TTCGCTCAGGCTGTTGCTGCTACTGAAGGTGAGAAAATGCTCACACAGTTTTGGTAGGACTACAACATTTTGAAATGTATAAAGAACATAGCTGCAGCATGGGATGAGGCTACAGGTCAGTGCATGAATGGAATATGGAAGAAAGTCCTGAATTGATATGTGAACAGTTTCAGAGGATTTAATGAAAATAAAGTAATTTCTGAGATAAGTAACAAGATAGTGGAGTTGGGTTAACAGCTTGAGTTAGAAATTGATAATGAAGATGTTGAGCAGTTGGTTGAAAGTGTAGCAGAAGAGCTAAGTAACGAGGATCTTATTGAACTGGAAGCACAGAAAAATGCAGAGGAAGAAGAGAGTCAAAATGTAGAAGAACCTGCACCCCCCAAAATTTTTCAGTGAAACAAATGGCAGAAGCATTTGCTACAATTAATAAGGGGATGCAAATGTTTGACGAAATGGATCAAAATGTTGAGCGTTTTGCAAAAGTTGACAGAATGGTACAAGATGCGCTTGCTTGCTACAGGGAGATTTATAATGAAAAGAAAAAGCAAACTGTGCAGTCAAAATTGGACATATATTTTAAGAGGTCCCCCATTGCTGTCTCCTCATGCCCCACCAGTGTTGCCTCTTCACTCCTTAAAGAGGATCCAATAACTTCAACAAGCAAGTTTCCCCTGTATATTAACCTGTCTGAAGAAAGCGACATTGATGACCCACCCAGCCCTATCTCCTCCTCTGCTTCATCCAGTTAATGTAGTCTCCATGTATAATTAGAAAATTATGGGGGCCCTGCGTGCATTCAGCTGACTACATTAAAGGTAAGTGCACAGTGACACTGTATCCATTCTTCAGTATTGATTACTTTTACAGTACATGTACTGTATTTCATTTTAGATTTACTATGTATTAATTTCTACATTTTCGACTTACTACCTGGATTTGGGTCCCTAACCCCGTCGTAAGTCGGGGAGCAGCTGTATTAAAAAAATGAACTAATCGCAAGCATTGTGGATGCAGAGTTAGGACGAGTGGATGCAAAACTTGTGACTGTGAAGACTCTTCTTGAAGCATTATAAATAGCCAAGTTGACTTATCATTTAACTCCAATTTTTGCAGATCATGAGGTAGAATATTATTACCCTCTGTTGGAGTCAACTCTCACGCACAATGCTATTCTTAACCACATACCAATAATACTAGGGCAACAAATTTAATGCATGGCATTTGGAACCCTTCCCTTTGTATGTTAATGACACATGGTATACTCTGGATAGACCAAAAGAACGTCTGCTAATTGATGAAGAATATACCTTGCTAGCATTGGATTATCCTAGGGTATTATCACAGTGTAAATCGTCATATTTACATTTACACGTATGTCCAGCCTATGTATTCCTGCTGCAGAAGGGATATGTGAGTTGGCAGTCATACAAACTAACGTAAGCACAGCGCTAACGCAATGTAGTTATAGGCCAATTTCTAGAAAAACTGTGTTACATACGCATCTGCATAATGTGCAATATTTTTTCTTTCCTGTTGAAACTAATGTCATTTTAAAGTGCCAAGACAGTGGTAAACAGTGAGTTGTGAAAGGTGATTATTAGGCTCCGGATTACTGTGAAATAACTTGTAGTTCATTGAAGACCTTGCCTCCTCATCAGCGTTTTGCATTGAATTTAAATCTTACTTCAATCACTCCACGTCCTATAAACTGAGGCTCACCGTGCCTGAAACACGAGTGCCGAAGGAAAATTGTTTACCATTTATTATTACGACATTTTACACTGAAACGCGGGTAGTTTCAACAAAAATATTGTATATTTCCATTCAAGTATTTATTCAAGTCAATTAGGAGGGAATATTATTGTAATACAACAGTTTTTTAACTAAACCATTCGAAAAGTGATTACGGTAACATCTTTTGAACGAAAGAAAGCGAAAGTCATTGTTTTCGTCATGATTTTATCCCACTTTCCACTGTAATACATACGTAATTTCAGAAAAAATATTACATTTCAGTGAATGTATTATATCAAGAACAGTATGAATAGAATATCATTGTAATATAACAGAATTTTAATCGAAAACTATTAAAAAAACGAGGAACATCTCAAGAACATCGGAAGCTTAGGTAAAGTCTTTTGTTTTCGTCATGTATTTTATCCTATTTTACATTGAAATACATCACGTTTCAGCAAAACTACTATTTATTTCCGAGAATATATTCATTCAGGCGCAGTTTAGGTAAAATATACGTGTGATATAATAGTTTTTTAACTGAAAACGATTCGAAAAACACGTACCCTCTAGCCCTGTTCAAGGAGAGGACTGGGAGAAGCTGTTTGCTGCTGCAGACGATGACAAGGAAAATGATTTTGATGGATTCTAATGAAAATATTTAGAAATATGGTATCATAGTATTTATTCAAGTCAATTCGGATAGAATATTATTGTAATACAACAGTTTTTTAACTGAAAACCATTCGAAAAGCGATTACGGTAACATCTTTTGAATGAAAGAAAGCGAAAGTCATTGTTTTCGTCACGATTTTATCCCACTTTCCACTGTAATACATACGTCACTCCAGCAAAAATATTACATTTATGTGAATGCATTATACAGTGGGGTATGCTATAATGAATGGATTCTACTACGAATATTCCTATAACGAACGGTTTTACCTATAAAATTGAGAATGCTATAACGAACGAAACTACTCCAACAATTTTTTTTTATTTTTTTTTTTTTTACTAATTTGTTGTTTTTCAGTGTTAAGTGGTTGCATTTGGGGGCCTGGAACGGATTAATCCTATAACGAACGAATGCTATAACGAACAAGGTTCTAGAACCAATTATATTCGTTATAGCATACCCCACTGTATCAAGCACAGTATGAATAGAATACCATTGTAATATAACAATATTTTGAGTCCTACTCTTTCCATTTGCAGAGTACTGTACAAGCCCATAATAATGGCTCCTAAAGTAGATAAACTTCGTTGTGTAAAGAGAAAGAAGAACACGTTGAAATTGAGTGACAAACTTGAAATAATTAAGAAACTAGAACGTGGTGTGAGCAATACTGTTCTAATGGAAACATACAACATTGGAAAGTCTACAATTTATGATATAAAAAAGGCAAAGAATAAAATTCTAGAATTCACAGCTTTTTCATTAAAACTGCTCGTTTTGATAAATGAAGCATGCTATATTTGCTAATGAATAAACTATCAAAATGTACCTGTTCATCTCTTCTTTATTCCTCCTTAAATTTGAATTTTAAAAGTACTGCCTGAGAATCCGGAAAATCCGAAAATCCGGACCGACCCAATCACCAAGCAGTCCGGATTTTTGGACTTCTACTGTAGAAAGAAATTAAAAATAGTGGCAGAAATCTTAATATTTTTCAAGACAAATGAATTGCCAGGAACAATTCAGCAATATGGTAAGGCTATATAAAAAATATAAAAATAAATAATAAGAATATTATCTGCTTAAAATATTTATAAAACATTTAATAAAGTTACTCTTATTGACATAGGGAACAAGAAATTAATTATACAAGTACAGGTTGTACCTCTCTAGTCCAGCAACCTCGGGACCTAACCGGTGCCGGACCATGGAAATTGCCGGACCATGGAAATTCACCCTTTTCCTGGTTAGATAGTGACTTGTGCTTATGCCTGGAAGCACTAGCACCACTTTCTCTGCGTCATGGTCTCTTTGAAGACATATTGAAGGGTTAAATGTCGTATAGTAGCTTCTCAAATTTCGCGAGTTTTTAATTCTTAACGTATTTTATTGGAACACACAAAAAAATAAATAAATAAAAATTTTGACGGCGGAAACTTGAATTTCGACGGGTTTGAACGGCCCGCCAACGTGCAGACGACGTGCATAATCGTGTAAACAGGGTCATTTCTCTTATGTACAAAAGATTCATTATTGTTTATTACTGAATGTCTTTTTTATTGAATTAATGTTTATATGTGCAAAATGAGCAATACAATTCATTAATAATACATAGAACATTAAAACACATGAGGAAATGACACAGCATTGTTTTCGTTGATTACAAAACCAGTGACTGACTGGTTCTACATATAAAACTGAAGAAAATAAGACCTTGGTTGTAGCTGTAGTAAAATTAATATGGTTGTTTTAAGTAATGTTATTTAATGTTAATAAATGGAACAATAGAAGTAGCTAACGATAATGGTAAAGAAAAAAGAGAGATCGCATATGTAAGTGCGCATGCGCACACGTGAAAACATATCGTCATTACTTTACATAAGAATATGAAAGCAACACTTATTTACTGTTCATATATATTTTAATTAATGTTTCTGAATTTGTTTTTATTGAATTAATGTACGTGTGTGCAAAATTAACAATACAATTTATTAATAATACGTGGAATATTAGAGGAGACGAGACGGCTGCCGGCATTGTTTATGTTAAAGCTTACGAAACCAGTGACTGATTGGTTCTACATATAAAACTGAAGAAAATAAGACCCTGAGTTTAGCTGTAGTAAAATTAATGTAAAGAATGAATATGGTTGCTTGAAGTACCTGTAATGTTATTTAATGTTAATAAATGGAACAATATAAGTAGCTAACCATTAATGGTAAAAAAAAAGTGAGACTGCTCGTATGTAAGTGCGCACATGTGAAAATATATCGTCATTACTCTACATAAGAATATGAAAGCAACACTTATTTACTGCTCATATATATTGAAGGGTTAAATGTTGTACTCTGTATAGACAAGCAGAGAGAGAGAGAGAGCAGCCGAACTGCCGGATGTAAACAAACCTTAATTTCCCGCGGCTTTTTTTTAAGGGGATTAGCCCACCCGGGCATAGGTCACTGACCCACATTGGGGCCTGAGGGGCAAAAATTTAATACTCCTGTAATAATAATAATAATTCAGATAAGTAAAAAAAAAAAAAAAAAAAAAAAAAAAAAAAAAAAAAAAAAAAAAAAAAAAAAGCTGCCTATCTACCTATTGGACAAACTAGAATCGTCGTTCCGGACCATGGGAGTTTCCGGACCACAGAATGCCGGACTAGAGGTACAACCTGTATTGTACTGTATTAACATTAAAATACTAGCATACAATTAGTCTAAAAAATAATTCAAAAAAAGCTCTAGTCCAATGACCGGTCCAAACATACTTAACCAGCTTACAAGATATTTATACAAAAATCTGGAATCATGAGAAACAAGCTTTACCTGATCCATCAGTTTTCCAGTGTAACAAGGATGTAACTGAAAAAATGGTTGGCCAAGCAAAGGATGTTCCTTCTGTGTTAAAGACTCCCATTTATTTTGGTTAATTTGTTCCTTAAACTGAGAATTAACACTCTTCCAGATTTCCTCTAATGTTAACAGCTTTCCTGAGGAATGCCAGGCATTAAAATATAATGTAGGAACTGAGTGACTTAGGCTGTACAAAATATGATATTCATAAGTAAAAAAAAATTTGGGTTTTAATATTTCTACAGCTGAAGGATCTGTCATCTCTAGTTGTTCATCACAAAGACTAGTACTTTCTTCAACCTGATCCTCTGCAATAACTGTATTACATTTCTCGGTTATGAATGGTAATCTATTTAATGTCTCTTCCTTATCTCCAAACCCATTTTCAATAAACACTGTCTTTGTAAGGTACAATGCACCTTCTTCTTGAACATTACCTCTGATTTTCCAATTATCTCCAAGTTTTTCTGACATTTTGACAAATTCCAGGCAGGCCACTGTAAAGTCTTCATAAGTTATACAGGCCATGACTTCTGAAATTCTTCCCCCTCTCTTTAAATGAGCGATGCCTTGATTTGTGTGAAACCTGAGAGATTTTCTGTGAAGGACTTGAGAGACTTCATTCCATAGTACTTTAAGGAGTTACTGTGTACCTCAAGTGACTTCTTTGCATGATATTTGAGCTTTCTTGCCAAAACAGCTGCAACACTTGATGTATCTGTAAAAGAATTTTACTTAAAGATTCTGTAGTATACCTTACATTTCACACTGAGTTCTTGAATGACACTTGTAAGAGCAAATATTTAAACTAATACACAAATTCAAACTTATAAACACAAAGGAAAAAAATATTCTTTATACGGCTTACAGATGAATAAAGGTAGAATGTGAAGGTTAGGGGAAGCAATGCACATACCATATATAAAGAATCCAGTACAGTACAGTATTCCTAAGTACTTTCTGTACTCATGGTTGTGAAAATTAGTTGGTAGAAAAAACATAAGAGGATCAAGATAACTGTTGGCAGGTGTAGTAAACACTTAGTGGAGCAAGATGACTGTTGGTCTAAGTGGCTAACAGGCTGATAAATGTTGAAGAGATGAAAAGTAAAAAAAGTTATATACATATTTGGTAAATATTTAGAAGTTGCCAACTCCTACTTATATATTGAATCTTATAAAAGGAGAAAGAGAGAAAAAAAATTATTCTATAGCGTTTCCTTTGGAAATTTATATTTTTCGAGGGTAATTATTGATGACTGACCCGCCACCTGAATTTTCGTAGAAAAAGATTTTTGAAATGCTGCAATTTCATTGTTTTATAGTGGACACTGTCGTAGTGTTGGCAAATGTGTTAAAAACTGGTTATTTCTAAATTAAACTTAACAACCTTAGCTAATAAGAAAACAAGCAGCAAAAGCATTGTTATAAGACCTCACCAACCTAACCAGAGAAACTTACCAAACCTTACCTAACTTCCTAGCCATGAGGTTCCATCCTCAAGACCACACGGCATATTAAACAAAGATCATTTTCTTTTTTATTTACAGGGAATAAACCCACCCGGGCACAGGTCATCAACCCACAATGGGGCCTACGGGGCAAAAAGAAATTAAAAATAGAATGGAAAAAGACTCAATTAATCTACACCACGAAGATGCTGGAAAACCAGCTTTCTGAAGTGAGACAGATTGTAAGAGTATGGAAACACAAAAGAAGGCAAAGCATTCCACAGTTTTGCTGTACGATGAAAGAAGGATGTATTATAACAGGTTATTCTAGTGTGACCGACATCCACACAGAAGCGGTGGGCACCACAGGCCAGATGAGTATTACGAGCCCACGGCCTTGCCAGCGGTACACAGTATGCCAAATCCACTGAACATTGCCCGTTAAAGTATCTGTAAAAGAGAGAGAGTGAAGCAACATTGCAGAAAGGGAAGAGATTTTATCAACTAAAGGAGGAGAGTTAATAAGACGAAATGCCTTTGATTCCACCCTATTGGACAGAAGAGTAGCCACCCCAGATATGAGAGCAGTACTCCAAGTTAGGAAGAATGAATCCCTTATATACTTGAAGCAACTGCTCAGGAATGAAGTAGCTATGGCATCTGCACAGCATTCCCAATTAATCTATTCATGTTTTCGGTTTTTAGTATGTGTTGGTGTTGTTTTTGATGCCCAGATGAGCAGGGATCCATAAACACAAAAGTGATTCTTAAAATATTCACAAGTTAGGAAAGGTTAGGTAAGGTTTTCAAGGGTTTGTTTGGGGTTCATTTTAGTATTTTACACCACATTTTACCTCTACTTTAAAGCCCTGCCCACTTTGAAAAGCTAATAATTCGGGTAATTTTTTTTTTCAGTCAAAGTACTCAAAAAATAAAAATTTGACAAATGCAAAAGAATAAATTATTTAGTTTTGTTTCTCCTTATATATAAGAGTCAATATATAAGTAGGTGTTGGCAACTTCTAAATATTAAACACATATTTTTTCGTTATGTCATATAATACTGTGGTTTGGTTCATTTTATGAATCACAAATATTTTTAGGTGGCCCTATTTGGTACTACAGGAAGTCCCCAAACTCACCGATAATAAAAAAAAAGCACTCATAATATTAAGCTCGTTAAATACAAGATTACCTGGTATTATTTTAATTTTGGTCATCCAGGAAATCTTAGGAATTAAATTAGGTTAGATTAGGTGAGACTAGGTTAGATTAAGTTAGGGTAAGTATTCAAACTATGTTTTTCCAATTTTTTTTTTTAAGATTTGGACCTTCATAGCATCAGAAATCACATAGTTTGGATATTTAAATACAAGGATAACCGAAACTAAAACTTTACCGAAACATTTTTCACACATAGGTCTCAACTTGTCTAGAGTGTATGGATCGATGTTTTATTTTACTTTAGGACTTAGCGTGGCTCAAAGTTATAAACTACTGAAACATTTAGATCTCCCTATTCTGAGCATTTTGAACTCCATATATACCAGGCAGAAATGGATAATAGCGACACAATTGAATTTAATTGATTTTACGTACTTTTCAGTCTTCGTATCTGTGAGGAGATGTTATCGGTGTGAAACCGAGTTAATTACGAGTGTGTTTACATACGCATGTGCAGTCGTGACCAATGCTGTATCGATCTCATCACCGATTTTTTTTTTCAATCAAACACAAATAAAAATTTTTCAAAGGGAGCAGCCTGGGTACGGATTTCAATTTCAATTGCCAGTGTGACAATGGCCGTGATGGAGGTTGGTTGTAAATCATGCCTATGATATTATTTCAAGTTTGTTGCAGTTTTACGACAAAGACGATCAAGCTATCCAATTCCTACTAAATCATGGTGTTCTCCCTATGTCTGTGAAGTGCCCGCACTGTAAATTGCCTTGTAAATTCCGGCGAGGAGGAGGTCGATGACCCTTAACCTATCCCTGGTCTTTCCACTTCTAACTAAAGTACAGTATTGTACTTTCAGACATGGTGTGCCCCAAAGTTTTCAACAACTGAAACATTTACATCTCCTTATTATGAGGCTTTCCATTTTTACTTGTAGGAAATGAATGATAGGTTAGGTTAGTTTAAGCTAGGCCTACCGGGGGGCCGGCTAGGGTTAGGTTAGATGACTTCTTTTCGTGTTCTCCCCCACCCAAAACCCAGATTTCCCAGGCTCTCCCCTGTTATCGTTGGGGGTCGGGGTGGGAGAAAAACCAAGCAATTTCCGGACTCATGTCCGAAAGAAAAAAATGTATATTTACTTTTATTTGTACAGTAGAGTACTTACACTTAAGAAGTATTTCACGTCAGAGAATAAAGACCAGCAACTTGACAAGCAAAGCTGCTGAAGTTCAACTTTGTAGTTGACAACAAACATCATACCTGTTGGTCGTGTTCTTAGTACAAATTTAAAAACAGATTATGTCAATGAGTATGAGTCTATTACTTTATTTCTCACCAATTATCAGCTTACGAGTCGTTCGAGCTGCGAGTCTGTTCTTTAATTCAGCTTTTATTGTCCAGTGTTAGTACAAAAGGAAATACCGGACCAGACCACCTGAAAGAGACTTATGTTTGGTGGTGACACTACTAACACCTCACGGACCCATAACAATTATATTAAATGGATCTACTGTTAACCATTGTTTATTTACCTATGCTGTCTATGTATAAGCTGAGTTACTGTAAATTCATTATGACAATTTTATTTAAAAAATTAATTTATACTTCAGTAAATATACTGAATGTACCGTGAGTTATCAAATGTGCGTGTGAAGTAGTGAACGCGGCCAGCAAGGAAGGGAGAGTTAAGAAGCTCGACCCCCATACAGCTGAGTACCGCCAAGAAACAACATCAAATCACTAACTGGGCATGTAGTAGTTGGGTCAGTCAAAGATTGAATTGAATTGAAACAGTTTATCTAGCCAGAAAAACACAGATACAGAGTGGATAATAATAACAATATTAACATGGCTGAGCCAGTTGAGAACCTGGGCTCTTTTTTAGGTAATAAAGACTGTTTTGTTATATGACGTCATCTTGCTGGACATTTAAGGGTCGTTCAGTGTGACAACCAGTGACAGGAAATGGCTCCACGTGGTCGTCATGGTTGTGTAGGAAGGACAAGAAAAGCCACAGACATTTAAAATTCAATCGCTTTCCTAAGGATAAAGACCAATGAAAATTATAATTACAGTATGTCATGAAGATAAAGGAGTTAGGTGTAGTTAAAGTTTCCATGGCTTCGGTCCCATGTTTGTTATGAGGAGTGATTACATTAATGTTTAAAGGAATCATCGACCTCAGCTTGAGGAAGATTATGAAATTTGGCCTCTTGTTTTAATAATAATTTGAAATTTCTCCGGATTAGTGGCGTGGTGAAAGGAAATAGTCACAGGAAAAAAGTCTCATAAAAATGTGACAATTTTGGCGAGGAAAAAGGGTTACAAGAAAAAAAAGTCACATTTTATTTAAATATCATTAACAGTTAAAGTAATAAAACAAAATATTTTAAGTCGCCCATTAACTGACAATACATGACTTGTACACAACACAATTGATATATGATGATTGATGGCATTGCACGTATGTTAGGTTAAGTACACGGATAAGATGTTACGGTGAATTAACCCTTTTGTATTTCTCTTCTTATTGTTACTTTATATAATAAAGTCCACTATAACATTCTTGTTTACCTTTATATCACTACAATCCGACAATAGTGATCTTGTAAAAAATGTTTAACCATAAAGAAAAATACTGGAGACCGTAATTTCAGTCATTTAGGAATGAATGACGCTTCACAAATGATAATGAGGTTAGGTTCTCTTCATTAATGAATAAATGAAGTATTAATAAATATATAAATACCAGATTATAAATAAGTCAAGGTTGGTATAGTTGGTCACTATAGGCATCTTACGTTTTCTATTAATACTGCCTTAGTTATGGAGGTAAACGCTAGACAGCGCAGCGAGCGGCGGCACTAAAAGATAAATGTACATTAAAGGGAACTGAGCTTCCTTACTTGACCTTCCTTGGTGGCCAGTGTTTATTGTTATGCGACTGGTGCTCACTAGTGCAACACGTGTGTACTGTACGTTGCTCGGCTCAGCTGCAATCATTAGCAAGGAATGCTTGGACTGCCGAAATAATCCGCAGGAACACAGCTGAGCCTGGTCGACTTACTGTTATTACACTGGGCAGTCGCTGAGAAACTTCTGGTAAGCAATTAAGACAAACCTGTAAATACAGTTTAGTGTTTCAATCCACACCCACCTGGGTTAGGGTCATCTCGTACCCAAGACAACTGGTAAATTTGCACTTCCACCTCCCACTGTTAGAAAGTCAAAAATATATTTTTCTAGTGTATTTGTGTGTGTTTAGACCGAATATGGTATTATTGCGTTTACACACCGCACATTCCTACCACTAATCCATTATCATATTCGATAAGACGTCTAATTATAAGACAATTTTCATCTATTACATTACCGGCGGAAATGTATAATAACGGAGATAGCTTCTCCAAAATGTTCTCTATTTTCTTCCATTAATCTTCCGCCACTATCACCTACCTCTCCTCTAACACTGCGGGTCTCCTGCTTCTCCTTCATAAATTATTACGCGCATGCGTTCCCGTACACGTCACGTGGCCAATCAAAAGCGTTTTTTATATTCTTTTGCAACCAATTAAATTGATTTTTTTATTTAATTCATGGTATTTTTGGCCCAATCAAATTCGATTTTTATTTTGGGTCTCATATTTCGAAATTCAAATTCATTTCCCACCATGGAAGACTGCTATGGGTGTCACTTAAATTATATGGAGCTGATGCGAGTTTTTGGGAAAAAAACGAAGAAACTACAGCATTTTTTCGATCGCATGGTGTTCTTCCAACCTCAGTTAAGTGTACTAAGAGCAAGACTGAATGTAAATATCGCAAAGACCAACATATGTGGCGTTGTGTAAGAATCTCAGAATCCAACGATGAACAAGAACCAGGCCAATAAGGTAAGAAATAGGCGATTCCATCATATGGTGAGTCAGTCAGTTAGGTTTGGTTTTTGTTTTGTAGTGTGTTTTGGTGTATTTTTTATTCGCTTAGCCATTATTTTTTTGGAAAACGTCCCACAAAAAAAAAAAAAAATTATAAAAAATGCGGCCAATTTCCGACGGAAATGAAGGTCATATTCGGTCTAAACACACATAAATACACTAGAAAAATATATTTTTGACTTTCTAACAGAGTGGGGTGTGCTTATGTAAATTTACCAATAATAATAATGTTTGGTAATATTTTACTTAAGGACATAGCGCCCCCAAAAGTTATAACTATTGAAACATTTAGATCTCGCTATTCTGAGCATTTTGAACCTCATACATAATGGTTAGGGTCATCTCGTACTTAAGACAACGTGTACCCAACTCACGAGATAAATCATACCCAAGATTACTTACACCCAATTCAAGAGATAATCCATTCCTATTAGTATATATACCATGCATTTTAGCTTTATCTATGATTACAAAAAGAGATTATGTAAATCTTGTAGGAAAGTGCAGTGAAATAGGGAAATGTAATGCAGGCTATAAAATGGTTGCATATCATTACATAGTATGTTATTCTGTCATACAAACATTGCACTACATGCAGTACAGTACAGTATATAAGTAGAAACATGAAATTCTATGTGCGACCTGAAATAAATCTTTACTTGTGCCGAGAATGGTAATTTTTCGGAGGAGTATTTACGTTAAATAATTAGGGTTATTTCTATATGTACAAAGTACTTAGAGACACCATTTTGGTGGCATATGATTAGTTTTTACCGTTTGGTTAGAATGGATGAGTTAGGTCTAATTTGTGTGTGTTTGCTGTAAAAGTATGAGTGTTACTTTGTTAGGTCTAAGTTTGTTATAAATGTTTGTTTTGTACATTGGCTATTAGTACTCGGCTCTGGCTCAAGTCAATTGAGAGCTGGAACCAAGTTTGTAGCAACAGTCATTTTCATGATCAGTGCAGTGAATTTTTATCTTGTACAGTCCAAAAGCTAGTGTGATTTACTGTAGTTACGGTACTTGTGTAAATGGATGTGTTACCTCCAGGTCAGACATTTTATTATTTCTTGATTTGTTCTGTATTACAGGTACCAGAAATTTAATAGCTATTTTCTTATTTCATTTCCAGGTTAAGCAGCCATGGCTATCTCACATGGTAATCTTCTGAAAAAACCTCAAGTTGTTGAAGAAATATTGGAGTCTGAAGATAGTGGTAGTGATGTAGAATCAGGAAATGGAAGTGATGTGGAACCTGAAGTGGAATTACATAGCTTAGAAGATATTAAGCAAGAAGGGGAAAGTATTTTAAAAGGAACGGTAGAGGAAATACTTGAAGTGGATGATAAAGAGCGTAAAGCACAGGACCATAGTAGCTGTGATGAGATAAAGGAAGAGGATGTCAGTGATATTGAAGATGAGAGTGTCAGAAATAAATCTGTTTCAACAGGGGAATCTCTAAAAATTATCAGTGCAATGGAAGACCCCAGTGATGAATCAGAGATGGACTCTAGTGACATAAATGACAATGATGATGATGATAGTGATGCAAGTAAAGTTTACAAGGATGATTATGGTGGCAATGAAAGTGAAAGTGGTGTTGAAAGTGATGGAGATAAAAACAAGGAGGATGACAGCTCTGGGCTTGCAAATGTGATGACTAGAATCCTGGGAACAAAGAAGTCAGACAACGTGATTTTATCAAAAGCAAAGAAAAATCAGAAAATTACAAAAGCAATTGATGACACGAGCGATAACAGTTTTGAGGTCGTCGACGACAGCGGAAAAGTAAAGAAAGAACCAAATATTAAGTTGGAGAATGAGGACAAGAAAGCCACAGAAACATTACACGAGAGAGAGCTGCGGGTAAGTTAAATCTAATAACTTATTACATGTTAGAGGGAGATGCTGTGGCTGAGTATATACAGTACTTTACTCCCTTCTTATCCAGAGGGATGCTGGTTTGATCTTAGGCTGACCTTAGTCATTCCAGTTTAAATGGGCCCCTGACTTTATAGTTTGGGAAGTGTAGGTAGTCAAGTGCCGTGCCAGTCATGTTGCCGCATTGTGTACAGTAATGAAGGGCTGTGAAGGTTTAATAAACAGTGTACTTACTATATATCATCCACACTGTCCTTGATTAGATGGGATTTTTTTTTTAGATTGCCCACGAGGGGGCTAGTTTAATGTGCACCCCCTTACATCCTGTGCAAGGTGAAACGCAGAAGCATTTACAGTGGCCATCTGGAAAGTATGCGGAGTTCATGTTTGCCTTTATGACTCATGCATTAAGGGCATAAAAGCCTGAAGGGTCATGGGCTTTGTCAGCAAGTTACATAAAGTGACAGAATGATGAGTGTGTGGGGGGGAAAATTCCCGTTACAATTTATCTGTTTATGGCAAAGTGTGGCAGGTCTCTAATAATGTCAAGCGCCAGGCCTGTCGCTAGGAGCAGGGATATCTGGTCAGGGAGGTTAGAGGTGTTGGTAATGGTTGGGGACCTCTGTAGGAGGAGGTCATAGCGCAAGTGAGAATGTAGTGAGAGAGGGTGTGAGAGTAGGGAGGCACATAGACATTGACAATATTGAGGGACATACATTTTAGTGTGATTGTGATGGCGTGTACGTCGGTGGTGTCGGCTTCAAGGGGGACGTCGAGAGGTTGGTAGGGGACGTCCTTTTTGGCGTAGATACGTAGTCCACTAGCATATCCGCATGGTGGTCAGTTGATGTGGAGAACTGGAGTGGATGGGCCACAGGTGCTGGCATGCCGGTGGGGGACGGGGAGCCGGGGGGGTTGGTGTCCTCGGGTCCATGAGCGCGCGGTGGGTGGACGGGGGCAGCCGGGCAGGCTTGGTGTGGACGCCAGCAGTGGTACCAGGTGGCGGTGAAGTAGGCCGTGACCATGAGGGGCACACGGGGGCTGCCAGGTTGTGTCAGACTAGAAGAGGGGGTTGACTGGGTAGCAGCTGGAGGCAGGGGTAGTCTGTGTAGGTTGGAGATGGCGGTACAGAGTGTATCAAAGAGTCTTTCAAGACGGTTGGTAAATTCATGTAAGAGGGATATGATCTGTGTTGTGTCACCGGAGGGGGGTTGTGGGGGGCACCGGTGGGAATCACAAGGCCTGACAGCATCAGAGTAGAGACGGGGAGGAGACCCAGCAGTAGTTGAGTTAGGAGACGGCTGGGACTGCTGTGTTGCAGCCAGGTGAGGCCAGGCAGGGGCAAGTGTTGTTGAAGAAGGCTTTGCTGGAGACAGAGGGGATGCAGAGGGATGTGGCTCAGTAGGCCGGAGGAGAGGTTGAGGTTGACACAGCCTTCGGGGAGGCTTTTCTCCCGGGACAGACGGACGTTTGGGGCATTGTCATGAGTTAGCCTTGTGCCAGCCACCACAATTATAACATCTGGGGTCAACAACATAGCTCACACCACCCCCATTGAGGTGGTCTTTCATTTTTTGGGCACAGACGGAGGAGTGATGGTTACGTGAACAGGAGCGACATATGGGACGATCACGTCGGCAGCAGGCGGTGAAGACATGAAAATGTGTTTTTGTGTTTATTTAAGGGAATTTTTTCAGTATTCATTTTTATATAGATGATTTAAACTCAGAATTTAATTATTGTACTTTTATTCTATTTCAGAAAAAAATTTGGGAAAATAGGTTCAGAGTGAAACCAAATGTAAAGGAAGACCGGGAGAAAGAGAGACGTCTCAGGGTGTTGGCTACACAGTGAGTATGAATTTGGAAGTATATACTACACAGGCAGTGGCCGTTATACGTTGGGTTAGGGACCTCAAAAAAACCATTGCTAAGTGACTGATCACATACTTATTGTACAAATTTATTTATATTTATAACTTATGGGGAAAATAGGTTCTGTTCCTGAGCCCCTGAAGAGCCTAAATAGATTTTATATCCTTCTGTTATAATGATTAAATAATGTAAATTACTCTAATTATTTATAAACATAAAATCAATAAATTTGTACGATTACCAGGCTTATTCTTCAGGATGTGGCGAGTGTTGTTTAATTGTTTTCTATTGATTTTATAAGTATGATTTTTTTGGGTTGGTGATACATGTTTGGGGACTGGCTGGGATCGTATCTCATTGAACCCCATGTTATAATGCTCCCTATCTATGATGTTTCACTTAGCTGTGGGTTTTTTCAGGAACCTAACCCCATCATTTATCAAGATTTACTTGTACTGTAAATCTTCTGGGGTGGAGTGTGACTTTTTCTTGTGAAAATTATTATTTTTCTGAAAAGTTTTTATTAATCCGGCACCAAATGTACTGAAATAATATGGGAATATGGTGAAATTACATAGTGTTGTTTTAATGGGGTTGTGGGATCTAATTTTCCGCTGAGCGCATCCACCCCTAAACTGCCTTACCTTCCTTCACCCACCACAGATTTCTTTTCCACTTATCATTTATCTTATTTTATAGTTAATTTCTTTTTTATTTCCAAGTCACGTTAGAGCATTGTACTGTACAGTGCTGGATTACAGTATTATACATACGGTATACACTTAGTATATGAATATTGGAGATACAGCATGCCCTTCAAATTTGCGAGGGCTAGGTTCTCAAGATGGCCGCGAATCGCCAAATCCGTGAATAACATTTGCTGATTACAGGAGGGTACAGTTTTACTTTTGTACAAATAAATACATATACAAATAAATAATAATGGGAAAATTCTCTCACAAATAATTAGAAACAAATTATTAAAAATGTGAGTCTATCCTCAAGTCTACTACGTGCTTTATTAATAACAAAGCACGGAGTAGACTTGAGGGTAGACTCACATTTTAAATAAATTTGTTTCTGATTGTATATACAGTGGTACCTCGGTTAACGAGCACAATCCGTTCTAGAAGGTTGCTCGTTAACCGAAAAACTTGTTAACCAAAACCATTGTTTCAATGGGTTTTTGGGTAATTGGTTCCAGCTCACCGAAAATTGCCTAAATTCAACAAAAAAGGTAGAAAAGTACACTAACTTTGAGGTGTGTATGTAGAAGGCTCCTGGATGATGATGATGATGATGGGAATTAGAATGGGGGTGGTGGAGAAGAGAGAAGAGAAGGCATTGGGGTGGAAGAGAAGTCACCCCATGGTGCCATTTCACCCATAAAATTTTAGTTCTCTTGGTGTAATTCAAGATTATTTTCTTTAAATCAACACTGCACTGCATTATATATTGTCAATATGTAAAATAAATTTCAAATTGACCAATAATTTTCTTGTAAACACACAAAAAAAGCGTTTAGTTGAAGAGAGTCTCAAGCAAGATGTTACCTCCACTGAAAAGACACAAAGACTGACGCCTGTATGCTGTGTTGGCAGGCTGGATGGAATGCCACAAACTAGTGACCCTACCTTTAATTATGTTCAATAATTGTTAAAATGACTAAAAAATTTAATATTAAACTTTTAAAATTATTGAATAGTATAAACTTCTTGATATTTACTAAAAGGGTAAGGAATTTAAGCCCTAGAACCGATTACTGTATTGGTAGACTAATACTACAGCTGGTGGACCGCCAAATGCAAGCTAAAACATGTGGAGGTCGGCTCGTAAGAAACTCGTTAATTGAGGGATTGCTTGTTAATCGAAGTTAAGAATCTTATGGAAGGTAACTCGTTAACCGAAATCTCGTTAACCGAGGCGCTCGTTAACCGAGGGACCACTGTATGTGTGTGTGTGTGTGTGTGTGTAGACACACACACACAAAACACATACAAATAAATAATAATGGGAAAATCCCCTCACAAATAATAAAACAAATTTATTAAAAATGTGACAGTCTACCTTCAAGTCTACTTTGTGCTTTTTTATTAATATTCATGGGCCTTATTTATATTAGTGGCTGACTTGACACTTATACTGTATTAACATCCTCCTTACTTTGAACAAGTATATTCTTCAGCTAGCTACTGTATTTGGAAAAACAGATAGAGTAAGGGTATTTATGCTTAGGTTTTTCAGCCCTTTCCTGTCACTTGGTACACTAGTCCTGAATCAATCTCCTCTACCATTTCTCATCTTTCTTGAGGGTTGTATATCTCTTGACCAATCCCCCACAAAAGTGAAGGAAGAATAAAGATGGTTGATGGAATTAGACTTGAGTTTTGCTTCATTAATTTCCCTTCCTCCTCCATTACATTACTATATCATCATTTTATGGTCATTTTCCATGCCTGTGTGGATTAGCCATGATTACCTAATGGCATGATATCCCAGTTGTCATCAGGCATATTTTAAACAAGTTTTATGCTTGGATACCCTTTCTGTCATCAACCCTCATTTACAGATTGGCAACTGGACACTATATGAGGCGCTCAGCATTACAAGGGGGTAAAGCGTCACCCCGGGCAAAATGCGTTTTTTGGAGGATATCACTATTTTCACCATTCCTCTACATGTTGGCGTTGCATGTAACCCCCTAGGTAGACTAGAAATATGGTTGAAGGTCCTTCAAAAATAGGGTGTCATTTCGCCTCAGGCTGGGAGCTACGTATCTGGCTGTGTGCTCAGTAAGAAAAGGTGGTCACATCCCATTCAGAGTGAGAGGAGCATTTTATTGAGAGGGCAGAGAAAGACTTTGAACAGTACGTGATTGATTATGACGAGGCCATTAAAGTTATACACACTCCTCAGGATTTTCGTAACTTCAACTTACTACGATCTTCAGGGATAATAAAACGAAGGAACTAAACAAAGTAAGATTGTAATACAGTCGGCCCTTCACATACGCGGGTTTAGCATTCACAGATTCGCAAATACGCGGATTGCCCCGCCGGAGGAATATTCTGTACATTGAAGTAATTGAAGTACATTCAAATCGCGCGCCATTCAACTCGCGCGCGGCACCGAACACGGGACACCGCCCGCTCCTGCAACCTCACACACACACACACACACACACACACACACACACACACACACACACACACACATAGCTCTCCCTCGCTCAGTCAGTCTCGCTGTAACCACGCTTGTGTTGACATCAGCATTGTAGTTGCAAAAATATTACATTTCCGTGAATGTATTATATCAAGCACAGTATGAATAGAATATCACTAATATAAGAGTATTTTAACCGAAAACTACTAAAAAAATCAGTAACATATCTTGAACATCGGAAGGTTAGGTAAAGTCTCTTGTTTTCGTCATGTATTTTATCCTATTTTACATTGAAATACATCACGTTTCAGCAAAACTACTATTTATTTCTGAGAATATATTCATTCAGGCACAGTTTAGGTAAAATATACATGTGCTGTAACATTTTTTTTAATTGAAAACGATTCGAAAAACACGTACCCTCTAGCCCTGTTCAAGGAGAAGACTGGGAGGAGCTGTTTGGTGCTTAAGACGATGACAAGGAAAATGATTTTGATGGATTTTAATGAAAATATTCAGAAAGACCCTGGCACTGTCAAGGAAAGTGGCTGCTGAAGGCTTCCAGGACATGGCAGAGGACGAGATTAGGGAGCTAATTGAAGAGCACGACACTGAGCTGACCGAGGAGGATCTACAGGAGTTAGTAGACTCAGGCAAGGAAGAGGAAGAGGAAGCGAAAGGGAAAGAGGATGAGGAAGAGCACCAAGAAATAACGTTGGAGAAGTTGGGGGAGATGACCAGGATGATTGAGGCACTGAAAAACCTGGCCTATAGTATGGACCCCTCCATGGTGCGTGCCCTGAAATTCATGCGAGGGATGGATGATGCTTTTGTTCCATACAAAAACATCATGGAAGAAATGAAAAGAAAGAGACGATAACTCCCCATCACCATGTTTTTTGATCACCGAAGGAGAGATTTAACACCATCAATCGCTGGCGGCAGTGAGGAAGCAGCTGAATTCACCGTCGCCCCCACTTCACCACCTGTTATGGAATTGAGTGACGATGAGCCCGATGACCCCCGCCCTGTCGCCGAGGAGAGGTACGGTACAGTAAAGTGAAATTCTTATCTCTTTTTTTTAATAGCTTTCCTTGCCATGTTTATTGTTTGTAAAAATGCACAGCACAGTACAGTTCAGAACAAGTACTGTACATAGGAAGTGGAGGTGCAGTTATTCACAAAACATTTGTGTTTGTTGTCGGCAGTAGTGACGGTGAGGAGGTAGAGGTGGAGAAGGGAGCGGAGGGAGTGAGTTGGGAGGAGTGGTGAGGTGACCTTGGACGCGGGAGCAGGAGCAGGGACGAGTGGAGATGCCAGCCAGTATATTTCGGGTGTATTAATTGTTTTTATAGCTATTTTTGCATTTTAATATTAAATACTGTACATTACGTTTCAACAAAACTACCATTTATTTCTGAGAACATAGAAATGTAATATTTTTGCTGAAATGATGTACGTATTACAGTGGAAAGTGGGATAAAATTGTGACGCAAGCAATGACTCTCTCTCTTTCTTTCGTTCAAAAGATGTTGCCGTAATCGCTTTTCGAATGGTTTTCAGTTGTGGGATTATAAGGCTAATGATAGGATAGAATATTATTGTAATACAGTACGAGTACAGTACAACAGTTTTTTAACTGAAAACCATTCGAAAAGCGATTACGGTAAAATCTTTTGAACAACGAAAGAAAGCGAAAGTCATTGTTTTCATAATTTTATCCCACTTTCCACTGTACAGTAATATGTACGTCATTTCAGCCAAAATATTACATTTCCATATTTATTTCTGAGAATATATTCAATCAGTCACAGTTAAGGTAAAATATACTTGTGATGTAATATTTTAATGAAAATACGGTATCGTAGTTTTCTTTTGTTTCAAATTTAATTAACAAAGATTGATGTTTCAAATGTAATGAACAAAAATTTATGTACAGTATCTATAAATAAACTTTAACAAATGAATACTTTGTTTTACATCGTCCTTTGTATACCATACCATGAATTTGGCTACTTTGGGCTAGCTATGATGACGCAAGAGACTGCCCTGACGACTGTACCGACACTCACAGCTGGTGGTGCGTTGGTGCGTCATTTCCATTGTTTACTGGTAGTTATTGGTAAATATTTTTCAACCTTATGAAACTATTACCCTTTTAGAGGTCGACCCCCAATTTTTTGCAAAATAATTTGGTCTTAAAAACTCGAACTACACACAGGTATATACGGTAAATAAGGACATGGGGGGCCAGGAGTTTTTTAGGGGGGGGGGGCTGCAAAAGTACACGGATTTTTAACATTCACGGGTATCTGTTACCTAACCCCCGCGTATGTTAAGGGCTGACTGTACTATTGTCATAATGTTTTTACCAAAGATTATGCAAACTTTCTCCGCCTTTGTATTCGTATGTTAAATACATTAGTGGAGGGTTGAGTGAAGTGGTGTTTCCTTATTATTACACACTATTATACTCAACAATACAGGTTGTACCTCTCTAGTCCGTCATTCTGTGGTCCGGAAACTCCCGTGGTCCGGAACGATTTTAGTTTGTCCAATAGGTAGATAGGCAGATTTTTTTTTTTTTTTCCCTCTTCTGAATTATTATTATTATTACAGGAGAATTAAATTTTTTGCCCCTCAGGCCCCAATGTGGGTCAGTGACCTATGCCCGGGTGGGCTAATCCCCATAAAAAAAAGCCGGGAAATTAATACCGTTTGTTTACATCCGCAGTTCGGCTGCTCTTCGCCTCTGAGAGGGATTGAGCTGCACGAAAAAAAAAAAAATAACCCTCTAGCTTAAAAAACAACAAAGTTATGGTTGTTTGAACTTTAAACCCGTTTTTCTCCGCTTTTTAAATTTGGCGCTTCATCCCCTTCTAATGCAGAGCGCCTCATATGTAAGACATCCTCAGGCCCTTTTAGCTGGCAAGGCAGGGTTGAAACTCTCTGAGGTAAATTTGGTAGAGCATCCTGTGTTCTGTTCACTCATTCTGATATTACAAGTATGTACTGTACAGTAATGTAGCTACTTCACTGAGATTGTTCCATATGCTGCCTGATCTAACTTATCCTAAAACTAATGTAACCATAATATAACAGCAGTAAACTTTATTTTGATTTTCTCCTTGCTTAACCTAACACACCCTAATCTCACCCAACTCTAGCCTGAGTTATGAAAACCTAATAAAGTCTAATCCCCCTTCTTGAATGCTGAACAGCATTATTTAACAAAGACTAAATAAATACATGACAAATAAGACCATGTTACATGACTTTTTTTTCCAACAGGGGTGTAGTGCAGTTGTTCAGTGCTATTGAAAAACACAAGAATATGATCCAGCGGAAACTATCAGAAACTCGGAGTATTATGGGACGTGAAAAAGTATTAGAGACTACTGGTAAAGAAGCTTTCTTAGAAGTTTTGAAGCAACAAGGAGAAAAGGTTAATGCACCCCAGGAAGAGGAGCCTATTAAAACGGTAAGCGAGGCAGTTGGTCTTGTGATACATGAGCCAATTGTGGAAGCATTGCATCCTCATGAAAGCCAGATTCTGCCACCTCTGATAAGAAGGGAGAGTTGAGGCACATTTGCATCCATAGTTCATCCTTCATTCACTTTTCTGCACTTGGTGTCGGTGCCACCATGTTGAGTTGTCCCTCTCCAGCACCACCTTCACCTGAACCCTTCCTTCTCTAGCACCCTCCTCTTACAAGCACCTTTCTCCAGCACCCATCCTTTACCAGCACCTCCTCTCCAGCACCCATCCTTTACCAGCACCCTCCCTTCTCCAGCACTCATCCTTTACCAGCACCCTCCCTTCTCCATCATCCATCCCCCTGCACTCTATCTTTCTCCTGCAGAAACTCTCGTACTCAGAAAAGTCACCACACATCCCATACCCCCCACCCACCCATTGCAACCTGTGGTCTAATGGTCAGCATGCTCACCTCACAAGTCAGTGGTTCCAGGTTTGATCCCCAGGCAAGATGAAACTTTGTTTTGCCTCTGTTTACCCAGCAGTAATTGGGAACCTGGTGTTATTTGATTTTCTGATCATGTTCCAGGCTAATGGTGAGCCTGTGCAGTTCGTGAGTTAGACTATTCCTTGACACTAATTTATGCAAAGCGTTAACCTAAGAGTGTGATTGTTGTGTTGACGACAGCTTCTACGCCTTAAACAATTTAACACCTCGGTGGCCTTAGGGCCGGCCATCCTCAAACATTTGGGTCAACCATTATTATTATAATATTATATACCAATTATATCACCTCTTTATTCAAACAATTTATCCTGAATTGTTTTGACAAAAAGCAACTCACACACTTCTTCATAAAGTCATTGCAACATTAGATATCAGTGAAGCATTTAATTCTGTACTCTGCCACATATTAGTAACAAATACAGAAGGACCTTGCTGTTTGAAAGGGTTATATTCTTAAATGTCAATGTGAATGTCAAAGTAAAGGGATAATAGTAACAATATAATATTTGATTCATCTTATAAAGGAAATCAAAGAAGAACTAGTGGATCTACCACCTAAGAAGAAACCAAGATGGAGTGTGCTGGCAGAGAACTTCTACAAGGAGCCTACACTACAAGGCTGGGACCAACAAAGTGACGATGAAAAGTAAACTGGTGTAAGGTTGTCAATAATAATGTTGTAGGAAGCTTTTTAATAATAACATATTCAACTTGGTACACATATGTTTGCTTTTGCCTTGGAGGGGAAGTCACACAGTCCTTAGAATCTCCACCCTAACCTAATGTTTAACTCTATTGATGTGATTCTTGCACCCTATGCAGTAAACAATGCCAGTGAGATTGCCGTGCCAAATGCTGCTAACAAAATTCCGCCCATATTTTGAATCTTATTGCCGATTGATTAGCTGGCATTTAGGGAGGTGGCCATGACCCATAAATTAGCTCTAGGCCTGTCAGTGTCTTCTTAGTCATACGAGTAGATGTGTATCCGCACCTGAAGTGGTCTTACCCAAGAAATAAGAAGGATTGTGATAGTTGCAAATGATGAAGATGTAGATGAGCTGAGATACTATAATATTGTATATCACACACACACACACACACATATATATATATATTATATATATATATATCATAAATCACAAGAAAGAAAAAACAATTGTTCCCAAGCTTGCAATCCTCACATCTTTTTATAGAACTGACCCAGCCCACCCATGACCATAAGAATATCTTAATATTACCATTTCACAAATTTCTCCAACATTCCTGCACAGCTAAAAACCTGGAACGATAAGTAGCATTTAAAACTCATGCACTGTTAAACAAATGTTAATCAAAACTCCCCCAACAAACACAATTGGTTGTATTTATAAAGTTCCTTGCAAGGAAATATACAGTTTTACTAGGCCAGACAGGTAAAGATCTTAAAACTCAGAATTAAAACAACACAAATACAGTGTTAGACAGTCCAGAATCCAATGCTCTGTTTGTTCATTTGAGGATAATGCTAATGGCCATCGATAATGCTCTCAATATTACTACTTTTTGCCATGTAAGCTCAATTGACAGTTGAACATCATCATAGATCTAAATCTTATTAAAACATACCGAAGCATCCAACATGAATTTGAGTAACTGCATGACAAGCTGGACAACTTTGTAACTAAGAAGACTTGTGATCAGTGAGGCTCAACACATGACCATCTGACCTGACCACCAAACTGCTAGCTATTTAAAGATTAGTAGGGTCATTACCCAACACCTGACCATGTGGACCTGGTCTCACCTCCTCAATATACACCTTGATTTGTATTACTCTCTATTCTGTAATCACCCTCAAGATGAATACATTTAAAGCCAAATCTCAGAGCTTTTCTTTCCTTGTGGTTATCAGCATATACCTAGATCACGCGCATCTACAGTGATGATTTACTTGGTATATATATATATATATATATATATATATATATATATATATATATATATATATATATATATATATATAACACACATATATATATTATAATTATATATACATACACATACACACACATATACATACATACACACATACATATACACATACACATACATGCACACATATTTATATATATACACATACATACACACATACATACATACATATCATACACATATACTGTAAGCATGAGATCGTTCTGGTCCACAACTATGACGGACGGATGGTGCTTGAAACCCACAACGTGCCCCCATATACATGTTGTATTGATGTACAATGCAGCTTGGTGCTGGGGCCAAACAGTATGGTTACAAGTGTGATGTAGAGAGCTGGGTTGGTGAGGACGCCAGAGAAGGACAGCTTGTGGGTCGCCATGCTCGCCATGAGAGAGGACCGCCAGGCAGGCGGAGGACAGAGATTCCCAGGCAGTATGAGGTGTGTTGCTGGCTGCGCTGTATGTAGAAAGAGAGACAGATCGCTCACGGCAGGTCAGGTCTAAATAGCGTAGGCGTGGCTTTAGCAGCTACCCCCGCCTGCGGGTGTGGCGGCGCGCTTGGGTTGACCGACCACGAGGCATGTACACTGGGAATTGGGTGGGGTCGGCTAGGCAGCTTACAAACAGCCGCTTGTAGGAGAATTCCACTGCTAACACTCCCCTCCCTCCAGGCTGTGTAGAGACTTGTTGTCTGCAGAGCTGACAGCACATGTGAGGTAGAACGGGCGGTGCGTAGCCTCCCAGAGACAATAACGGCGATGGCGTGATGAGCTGTCGCTGGGGACACAAACTGTCTAGATACACAACATCTGGAGGCAGGAGAATAAGGGTGTGTGGAGGCGAGAATTTGTGCTTCTCACGGCAGGTACAGAGTCGCTGGATGCCTGTTGGGGTGTGTGGGGCCTGGTTCAGAGCAGGGCTGTGTCAGCAGCAGCGGATAAGGGCTCGTGGACAGCAGTTGGGTCCACTTACAGCAGCAGGGTGCAGGACATTAGCAGGGCAATACGTAACTGAACGAAGTAACA